CAGTCTACATTTCACACGGACTGCGAGAATGGCACGTCCCTTCTGTCAACTCGCCTTTGATAAATTTCCACCACCTGCTTCTTCTAGTGAATAGGAAGAAAAATGGTAGTCTCGACACGGTGAAAATTGAACAAATTCAATCGATGACCCAGAGAAAAATTAATTTGAAACTGAAACACGTACAGCCACGGAGCTAGGTAAATTATTAGAGTAACGACATTTGTATTTATTAGACTAAAACCTATTTTGCACAGAATGAAACAAGTCGAATGGAATGCCGAGTTTAGAAAGTGAAATGAAATAATTTTTTGAAAATTACAAATCCACTTTGTGAATATACCTTTACAAAGTTTGACGTCTTTTTAAAAAATATATAATGCTATTTTAAAAACTACCTGCTGAACTAAAAAATCGACTTCCTAATGCAAGAGGTAAATTGACTTTCAACAGGAAAAATCCGAACTCGTTCTGAAAATTCGTTCACTTTTCTCCAAAACTATTCATCATTAAATTCACTAATTTCGTGGTCCGCTTGACCAATTAATACATTACAATTAATTAATGTTTTTAGTTGAAAGGAAAAAAGTCAATAGAACGAGCGGGATTCGCTTTTTTTTTTTTTTTTTTTAAATGACAAAAAGGAGGGAAAACTCATAAGGTGGGGTTGAGATGGGAAGTTGATGTCCGAGTGGATCGAGGTCACGATAGCTCAAGTGGTAGAGCAGCGGCGTATCTAGCCGAAGATCGTGGGTTCGAATCCCGCTCGTGCCATTGACTTTTTTCATCTCAACTAAAAACCTTAATTAATTGTAAACTATTCATCATAGTGAAATGATGATTTTTTTCTGGGAGGTGTCCTTTGGAATATTTTAAAAAAGAAATAGGTAAACAAGATTGAAAACATATAATGTCTTATTTCGTTGACCTTAGTAAAAATTTAAGTTGCTTAACATGTTCACAGCTGAGGACGCCATGATGACGTCATGAGTTAGTTGTTTGCACTAGGCGGATGACGGCACAGTGGCCTCATGAGTGAATTGTTTCACAAGGCAAAGGACACCACAGTGACGTCATTGCTGAGTGGATTAAATAGGCGGATGATATAAAAATGGCGTCGTGCAGATTGTTTCCCACGATGACGTCATGGGTGAGCTGTTTCTGTAGGCGGATAACGTCATGGTGGCGTCATGAGTGAGCAGTTTCACAAGGTAGATGTCACCACAATGACGTCATTAGTGAGTCGTTTCACTAGGCGAAAGATGCCATGGTGGCGTCATGATTGAGTTGTCTCACAAGGCGGTTGACGTCACTGCCGTCATGGGTGATTTGTTCACGAAGTGGATAACGGCACATTGGTGTCATAGGTGGGTTGTTTCATTAGGTAGATGGCGCCACACTGGCCATGAGTGAGTGGTTTCTCGAAGCGGATGATCCATAATGGTGACAATTGTTTCAAAGACGAATGACCCCACGATGGCGTCACGATTGATTTGTTTCACTAGCGGATGATGCCAAAAATAGCGACATAATTAAGTCGTTTCACGAGGTGGACGACACCACTGTGGTGTCACGAGTGGTTGTTGAACGAACGAAGGACGAAATTATAAGGTATGACAACAGAGTATAAAAATCAGTGGACGAGAGATTGCAGATTTAAATGAAACTTTGTTGCCGATACTACATCCTAATTCCTAGACACCCGGCCTAGCTTTCTTGCTAATGTGCCCTAGGAACTGAGAAAAATTAACCTTAATGGCATTTTTTTGAAACGTACAAACTGATAACTTTGGAACAACTTCACTAATCTACTGGAAGCTTACATCTGGCTTTAATTTCTTCTATCTGAGGTTATTCAGAAGCCACCTTTTGTACATAAATATGTATGAGTGGAAGGTCGAGTGTTCCATTGCTGTAGTGTTTTTGTTTTCAGTAATACCGACAGTTAAATTATTAAGCCGGGAACACACTTACCCGATGGTACGCCATGCGACGCTACCCGATGCTACCCGACGCCTTGCCACGTTTTGGTGGGGTGTGCAAATCTATCCGACGCAAGCACACGTCGCGTACAGTCCACAGCGTTTATCACAATAATCACTATCACAATCGCAACGCATCTTTTGTTCTTAATGCACTATTTTGAGCAAAACCTTGCAATAAATTGTTAGTTAAATTTTATGAGATATGCACAACCATCTAATACATTGTTTGTTAAATTAATTGTTTTAAATAAAGTTACTCCTAACCATCATAATTAAACAATGTTTATAAAAACTTATGCTTTTTCGCATCCATTGCAGGTAACCAGGCCCAACTCTCTTTCGCCATAGATCCATTCGTGTACCGTCATCCAAGCTAGTGGTTAAAAAGCTGCGCTCTCTGTGTATATCGGCGCAGGCTATGGAGATTGAGGACCTCAGCGTTGTAAGGGAGAAGGTGAGGAGCATTCGCGGGATGCCAACCAGGTATCCTCCTCTTGACTCCACTGCTTTAAAGGATTTTTTATGATTTAGGACCGTTTTTATTTTTACGCTTTTAGGTCCGCCACATCCAATGCGCTCGCAGTCTCACACCACCGCGAGGTCTAGGACTAATACTGACTGCAACGATATCCAGCTGGGGACTTCTCCCATCTTGTAACCAGTGGGGAGTTTCGACGGCGATCTGGTATCCCGAATACGGAGACGTGGTTTTATGTAAAAAAGGGGGTTAAACGCTTCACCTCCTTACATCTAATAAAGCACTGTTAAGGCGGACTTAAAAGCTTAGCTTCATTACAGCTCAGACGGTGAATAATTTTTCCTCATGTAAAGAAATTAATGTCCCACGGGATGGCTTTATGTCTTACTGGATTTTATCCAAAGTCAAAGCTATTACGACCGTAAGAAAGCTTTAGCCTGTGTTAAAGTTTAGTTTCTGCGTGTTTAAAAGAGACCCGTTTTACCTCAGGTTTTAATTTATTTACTGAGACCAATTTTATTCTATTATGCGCAGTTCATAAGTTTCTAAAGCCCTTTCCAGAACGGCCAAAATTCTGGAAAGAATTAAAATAAATGAGATGGTTATGACAGTACATGATGAAATGAGAGAAAAACAACTTTGATAGATCGTTACAAGAGGATATAGATAATTAGAGACATTTGTGAGAAAAGTAGCCCCAAGTTTCATGAAGAGCAGCTCTAATATAGTACACAGATGGATCAAGAGGTAAAAAGGCCGAACTATTCCCTAGCAAAGCCTCTTGGACTAATCCCAACAATTTTCCAAGTTGAGATCCATGCAATACACAGAAGCATGTATTGTTCTTTAATAACAATTCTGTGCACAATTGTTAATAAAGAAAAATGTGAAAAGTGCACAGACAGCCGGCAGTAAATAATACGCATTTGTCTGGATGAAAATTGTCTAATAGCACTAGGAAAACAACACAAGATAATCTTAAAGTGGGTTCCCGGACATGAAGAAGGAAATGAACAGGCTAGCCAACTAGCCAATGTAGGGGCAGCCCTCTCAAGCATGGGACCAAGACCACAACTAAGGGACCGCGGTAGCCGAGTGGTTAAGGCGTCAAACTCTCGGCTAGTAGATCCCGCGGTTGTGGGTTCGATCCCCACCGTCGCCTCTGGACTTTTTCTGACGCCTAAGGGGACCGGTGGCCGCAATTGAAAGAAATTGACACGGCACTCTTCAATGGAAGGGGCGGGATCGGATTTCAGTGACCCTGAATTTGGTCCCAACCCCCTTCAAAAATGAGTTTCTTCGATGGAAGAACACCGGTTCAACGGGGGCTCAAGTTCACATTTGTGTTGCGAGCCTTCCCCCAAAAATATGGTGTCAGGGATAAAGTACAATAAGCTGTACAGCTCAGCTGCAGTGCTTAGGAGGGATCTCCTCCAGTCCCTGGTATCAAAAAAAAAGACCACAACTAAGTGCAACAGAGTGTGTGCTTAAGTTGGAACAGGAAAGAAAGCATGCACTGAGGCAAGCTAAGAGATTTAAAAAGGAATGTCAAAGAAATCTTCTCTCCCAGCAGGCAGGATTTGAAAAAAATGAAAGGTCTCTCTTAACAACCACCTAAAGAAAATGGACAAAGACAGAAACATGCCGATTCCGTCAGGAGGTACCAGAGGCATCGGAACATGTCCTTTGTGAATGTGAAGCATCAGCAGGGTTTCGGTACAGCCACTTAGGTAAGGCGATTCTCAACCAAATGAGGCGTGCACGTAGATGCGCCGAGGAAAGTTCTTAGTCTTATAGGAAAAAGTGCACTGTCGAAGGTATGGTTATAATTTCGAGGTTCCACAATAGATCTATATAGGTCGAAGTGGAGGAAAGGAAGTCATCCTTATTATGTTGATCCTGTGTCAGCCGAAGCCCTAAGAAAAATGGACAGAGTTAAATTTCGTTTTGGCACAGCAGCTTCGTGGTTCTATAAAACACAACATGATTACCTTAAAGAGGGTTCTTACACATGAAGGATATCTTGGTACAGGTAGGTGCACATTCCAAGGCTATAGCCTGCTACAGGACAGACACATAATCTGTTGATACTGTATTACTTGTATATAAGTGTGATTCCCGATCGTGCTTAGATACCTATGAGAGGCTTTTTAGGCTATAATTTCTTGGAATTCCACAATAGATCTACATAGGCCGCAGTGGAGGAAAGGATTTTTGTGATTATTCGACCCACCCCCCAAACCTATAAAAAATTACAGGTTTCCACAAATCGCGATTGTTTGGCAAGGGGGATGATAATAACCGGGGCGATTCGGAGACATTCCACCCCCTGTCGTCGTCGTTCCCATGCCGGTACTTGTAATTCAAACTTCAACCGCTTAAACTACATTCATTTGCATAAACGGAAAGCGTTTTTGTTTTCTCGACAATTTATTAATCCTCGGCCTCGGAAAATCCGACGTCGACAAGGCGACTAAGATTACCGCGGTTTACTTTCGTATTCACTCGTTAATCATACAAGTCTGAAGGTTGGTACTAACTTGAAAATTCCTGTTCTCTTCTCGTCATCTGCGGAAAAACGATGACGGGCTCTCTGAAAAGCATCAAAAATATTACCTTAATTTCATCTTAATAACTTTTCTTTCATTATGAAAGGAAGGAACAATTATGACCTTCCTGAGGAAGTACACAGTCGGTTTCATCCTGAATGAAAGGCTTTAATAAAAGAATAGAATATACGACACCAGACCATAATTTCCTCCATTGTTTCAAATTCACAACTATGATATAAAATGCGCTTTTGTCTTTTTCGGGGTTTTCAAAGTATAAAGAGAAAGTTTTGGACTGTGCTTACTGAAGAAGCAGTTCAACGTGAGCTTTATCATCCCCATGAGACAAATTCCGTTGCCGGCCAAGGTCAACCTACGAGATGGTTAAGAAGAAAACACTTGAAAAGTTATTTCTAAAACATCAGGCGAGAGTGTCGCATTTCTGGCTGTTACATAGAAAAAAACCGCTGTCTTCAACATTCAAAGGCTGTGTAATAAGTTTGATTTATTTAATTATTATGGTTCTTATGACATTCGCATAAGGATCTATAATTGAAAGAAGGAGCAAAGGGCCAGGAAGGTCAATTGTACTAAAAAGGAGACTTGAGACTTGATGTGGGTTGTTTAACCACAAAAAGCCAGAATATAATTTTTTGAGAAAATAAAAAATACAATTTTTTACTTAAATATTTTGTTGAACCGGCACACGGGCACTACTGGTTCTGTCTTCACTCGCGGGTTTTTGTTTGAGTTATTCAAACGCGTTTCGGCATTACGCCATCTTCAGTGAAAAACTGTCTGTCATTCAGTCTGAGTGGGGTTTATATAGTGTTGCGTCCGTCGCTTGTCGCTGGGGGCGTTGCGTTAGGGGGCGTGGTCTCCGTGCTCGTTGGTCGGTCTTGGTGGCGGCTATTTTCATTGTCAGTTATTATTTGTGCGTTGTCGGTTTTTTGTTTTTTCCTGGTGTTGGTTGTGATTTTTTGTTCTTCTGAACGTTTTCGTTTTTTGTTATGGAGTGTTTTTAGTGGTGTGAAGGTGGTGTGTGATTGTGAGTTTGTTTGTGCGTTTATAAGTTTTCCGTCTTTAAGTGTTATTTGTTTGTATATCTCGAGGTTCTCCAGTATGTTTAGTTTTCGTCCTTTTTGTGCGTTGTGTATTAATGTCATGCTTGTTTCTATTGTGTTTGGTTCGTGGTTGTAGTGTATTAAGTGTGTGGCGTAATTTGATTTTCCGTCATTGTCTCTGAAGGATCTAAGATGTTCTTTGAATCGATCTCTTAGTTTCCTTCCAGTTTGTCCGATGTAAGTGTATCCGCATTGACATGTGATGCTATAAACACCGTTGTTGTCAAGCGGGTTAGTTGTGTCTATGTTTCTTTTTAGTAGTTTACCTGTGTTATTGTTGGTCCTTAGTGCTGTTTTCAGTCCGAGTTTGTTGAACAGATTTGTTAGTTTGTAGGTTTCTTTTCCTGTGTATGTGAATGTTGTCCAATTGTTGTTGATTTGTGTTTCGTTGTTTCGTTGTTTTGTTTTGTTTTTTAGGAGTTTCTGTATGGTGTTTGTTTTGTAACCGTTTTTTATTGCAATGTTAATAACACAGGTAAACTACTAAAAAGAAACATAGACACAACTAACCACGAACCAAACACAATAGAAACAAGCATGACATTAATACACAACGCACAAAAAGGACGAAAACTAAACATACTAGAGAACCTCGAGATATACAAACAAATAACACTTAAAGACGGAAAACTTATAAACGCACAAACAAACTCACAATCACACACCACCTTCACACCACTAAAAACACTCCATAACAAAAAACGAAAACGTTCAGAAGAACAAAACATCACAACCAACACCAGGAAAAAACAAAAAACCGACAACGCACAAATAATAACTGACAATGAAAATAGCCGCCACCAAGACCGACCAACGAGCACGGAGACCACGCCCCCTAACGCAACGCCCCCAGCGACAAGCGACGGACGCAACACTATATAAACCCCACTCAGACTGAATGACAGACAGTTTTTCACTGAAGATGGCGTAATGCCGAAACGCGTTTGAATAACTCAAACAAAAAAAAACCCGCGAGTGAAGACCCAGTAGTGCTCTTGTGCCGGTTCAACATGAGTTCGCCAACTCGCAGACCAAACCCCATCATCTACTTAAATATTTTGCCTCAAAGTTTTGAAAATCGCAAAAATGTTGATAACTGATCAATAGGAAACATTACAAGGAATTTGAAGCATAGAAAAACGTAGAAAATGAACCTAATGTCACAAATTACACAGACCGGAGATAAGGTTGATTTCAACCTTATTTTTCTCATTTGTAATAACATAAAACTTAAATACTATTAAAATCAAATCAGAAGAAAACCTACCCCTAGTTGGCCAACAAAATCAAATTTACAGCAAAAAAAAATTAGTTTTCGTTTCCAATTTTATTTATAGTTGATGCCCAAATTTACAGTTGATGACGTTAAAGGGTGCTTGAAACGAATCCGATTGGTCTTTTCTCGAAAACACATTTTTTCACATACTTTCTTGAAAGCACCTCAGGCAACGGTTACTATGGATGTGAATTCTGGAGAAATTTTATTCTGACCAGTACGTCCGAAATCCCCGTCAGAACAAGGTGGAGGTGGTTACATTATGCGCGTTTTCTGATAATCAGTAAGTTTCTGCCTCCCAACAAAATGGACGAACTTAATTTATTTTATTTTCTTGAAAGTCCGTTGATTAAGCTATTGTTAGTAGGTGGTGGGAAAACAGAGCATGTTAACCACTTATTTTCCACAATAGACGAGAAGAGAGAGTTTCAAACTTATTGCTAGTCCCTTAAATAAAATGCATATTAATCCATGTATGTTAAAACAATAGCAAAAAGAAGGAAAATTCGAACGGTTATAGATTGAGATTATTTAGTGTCCGAGGGTATCGAAGTCACGATAGCCTGAGGTGGTTAGAGCAGCGGCGTTTGAGCCGAAGGTCGTGGGTAAAGCCGGGAACACACTTACCCGATGCTACGCTATGCGACGCTACCCGATGCTACGCTATGCGGCGCTACCCTATGCTACCCGACGCCTTGCCACGTTTTGGTGGGATGTGCACATCTATCCGACGCAAGTACAAGTCGCGTACAGTCCACAGCGTTTATCACAATAATCACTATCACAATCCCAACGCATCTTTTGTTTTTAATGCACTATTTTGAGCAAAACCTTGTAATAAATTGTTAGTTAAATTTTATGAGCACAACCATCTAATAAATTGTTTGTTAAACTTAATTGTTTTAAATAAAGTTACTCCTAACCATCATAATTAAACAATGTTTATAAAAACTTATGCATTTTTGATCTCGTTTAATTTGGTTTACATTAAAATAACATGTTGTAATTAATATAACGACAAAATTACATGTACTTAGTTTGAAATAAACTACAAAAAATATGAGTGTCCTGTTCTGATGCTACCCGACATTACAAAATGGTGTAATTTTACGAGCAAAACTATGAAATAAATTGTTAATTAAATTTTATGAGCAAAACCGTGTAATAAATTGTTCCAATTTTAGTATATGTACCGCCGAAGCGAGTACAATAAATTGTTAGTTAAATTCATTATATCAAAAAATCGTATTCCGGTGTTTTGATTAATTTTCTACCAAACCATTAAAATTAATTTTTTAAATAAAAACTAATTAATTTTTAATCACAGTTAATTTGGTTTATATTAAAATAAGTATGTTGTAATTAATATAACGACAATAATACATGTAGTTTGAATAAAAATATGAGTGTCCGGTTCTTTTGTCTTCGACTGTACTCGATGCGACCCGACGAAAATCTGGACAGTGGGGATCGCAGAGCGTCGGGTAGGTTAGCGTGGCATAGCATCGGGTAGATGTGCACGGGGGTAATGCAACCTTATGGAAAATCGGAGTTTGGATTTGCGTCGGGTAGCATCGGGTAGCGTCGCATGGCGTAGCATCGGGTGTGTTTTTGGCTTTAGAATCCCGCTTGTGACACTAATTTTTCGTCTCAACCAAAAACCTTAGATAAAAAGAATCATTCATTATTCGTGCGTGTTCTGACACACACTTCGTAGCCAAAGTAAACACTCTCATTGGAAAAGAAGAATTTGATTGTTCAGACGAACTCGTCAGAACAAAATTTCGTCAGAATTCGCATCCATAATAACCGTAGCCTCAGCGGATTAAAGATGGAATTGAAATATCGTACATACTTGAAACCAAGCGAGGTGCTAAGATATGCTTGTAACAAGAAACCAAGATGATTTTCGTTTTTCTCACTCTATAAAAACTCCCTGGATACAAATTTCTGGAAAAATCAAAAACGCAATTTTCCCTCATATTTTTTGCCCGATTTTTTTTCCGAAAACCACAAAAACTGCTATAAATTTGTAACGACTCTTTCAATTTACAGGAGGCTTATAAACTACATAATATTAATAATGATAATCACATAGAGAGGCGTCGGTGGCCGCAACGTTTTAGGCGTTGATACGGCGTTCGTCACTGTAAGGTAAAGGTCCCGACATACTTACGAATGGGCTATTTTTTTCAAAAACACCGGCTCCCTGAGGGTTTATATGACCTCTGCTGTTGCGAACCTCGTAAAACTTACATAATACGTCATAGCACAAGATGGACTCGCTACGTATTTTCGAAACAGAGATATAACATAAAACATTTGAGATGGTTTTATTAATTTCCTCTTTGACTTGCTGACTCTTTGAATTGACTCAATGACTCGCTAATACGCTGATATTCTCCCTTTTCACTGACGCCTGCCCTACACGGATTGTTCAAGGGAACAACAAATAAACAGGCGGTTGTTGATCAAGTTATTTGCTATCCCTCCGTATTTTTAAGGTTTCACAGGAAATTTGATTAATATATAAAACTATTATGCAAATCACGACATATTACAAGTGGGTGGAATTTTTTGCCTGTCAGTGTATATAATGGCCTCAAAATATAAAAAATAAACATATACAAATTGTATTGATTTA